GAAAGGAACTAAGGGTGGTAGAAGGGGAGGAGGGTGGGGGTGGGGGTGAATGGGTGACGAGCACTGCGGGGGGCACTTGATGGCATGAGCACTGGGTGTTATTCTGTATGTTGGCAAATTGAACCCCAATAAAAAATAAATTTATTATAAAAAAGAAAGATTTATACCTCTGCACTCTACTGAGTCACTGTTAATAAGTTGAAAAGAGGAAAGAGGTAGATGCTATTGCTGTTTATTCAACGATGGGTCTAGTATACATGTTTGAAATCAGGAAAGAATCATGATTCCCTACCTTAAGCAAAGAAAATGAAAACCTTCCCTTTCTGACAAATCTACCATCCTCAATTGCCTGTCATAGAGAAAAACCCTTTGTAAAGGGTCACATAATGCAAAGATTAGAGTAAGAGAGACAAGATTGAGATCATCTGACATTTCAAATGCCTCTGATCTCAGACTCTGCTCCTCCTTGGTGGGTTTTGCTCAAGACCTTGCAATTCCCAGAGGACTGACGGTACTAACAGTCAAAATGTGGAATCTTCCCTCAGTTAAGATGAGTATGACAAAAAGTAAGGAAACAGCTCTCAGTGACAAGGGAGCAGGGATAGCTTCCATCTGTTATCAATGCTTCAACTACAGGAGACTGTCTGAGCCAAGATTGGAGAAATTTGCATAGAGAAATCTGACATGCTTTTAAAAAACTATTTGAATGCTGTGTGTCTTATATTTGACAAGATATTGACAGAGTAGAAATGTTGATGAAATATCAAGCTGAAATCTCAGATAATATAACCTTGTGTAAGTTTATTCTTCAAAGGATTTCATTTTCTTGAATCAAAAGAGATGGCTATGTCCTCGAATGCAATTACTGACTCATGGCCTCAGGAGAATTTCCTCTAAAGTAATAACCATCTATTCCTGCAGGCTTCCCACCTGCTGGCCATCACTGGTTCACATACCATACTCTTCATATTTCTCCAAAGCTATTGTGTTTGTTCCCCACGATTCATTGATAAATTTCTCCAGGCATGTGAGTTTCCAGTATTATCTCTTCCTGCCAAAACCCCTTTATCATTCACATTAGTTTATTGGAAATTTTATGTCTTCTGTGAGAATAAATTCAGGGAAGCATAAATATTCTGTGTCCTCAGAATGATACCAACAGGAAATCTGCTCTAAAGAACTGATCAGGAGAAATGGTCTCTGGGAAACCAAGATTACTTCATTTTCAAAAGTTGAAGCCCCCTTTCCTGTGATTCATTCTTACGGATCTTCTGAAATGACAAAAACTAAAATTCAGCTTCCTTCCACTTCTCCCACCCTGAAAGGTTTAAAGACAGCCATGGTGAAGAATATCAGCTCAATATATAAATAAATGTGTATATATGAAATGTGTTTTTATGTATGGAAACCTTCTTCACTCTGAGAATCTTTCATTCTCTTCCCCATTCTTCACAAAATAAGAATTCTCCAACTCTTCTCTAAGCAAATTTCCCTCTTCTCCAAGATAGAAATTTAGGTCAATACTTGTAGTGTTGAGATGTTACACTCAGAACTGGGAGTAATGGTCTGAATATGACCATTCATAGGAAAAATGCTCTTCCATGTATTACCTATAACACAGATAAGGCCATTCCTTGGGCAAAATTCTCAGCTTCTTGATTATTTCATAGAATAGTGTTTTACTTATGGTCAAAGCATTGGCCTAGAAAACCTTCATCTATCATGTTCATGGACTGCCAACTGCAGGAGTCTTCCAATTTCAATGATTTCTTTGAGATAATGTGTGAGTTATGCTCATTATATTCATCCTGCCTTCAAGGGATGCCCATCTGGGATAGTAAATATATTTGCTATGTTGGGGAAAGTACTTAGAAAGACATGTGGGTGTTCACATGGCACCATCAACTTTGGCTTACTCCTACAGAAACAGGGAGTGGTGGATGAGTCTGCTGGTAGAACAACAGTGGCTCAGCCTGAGTCCTTTCCTACCCAAGGTCCCAAACGTTTACCCAAAGTGGAACTCTCCATTCAGGCATTCAAACTGATTGGGCCACGACTTTCTCAGACCCAAACTGCAAACATAAACGGCTGGGCTTGCATTAGACACTTTCTCTTTACCCAGCAGGATGGTCCTACAGCAAGGAGGTAGAGGAAAGAATGCTAAGGAGGAAGTGAGGACACCCACTGTCTTTCTAGCCCAGTTCATTCACTACCTGTTTGTTCCCTACTGTCATCTCAGATAGTCTCTATTGTATAAAATGAAGTTGGATTCTAAGATTTCTAAGGACTCTTCCAGCTCTAAATTTCTTTGACACTATATAACAGAAACAATCTTATTGAGAACTGGCTGTGTGCAGTGTGGACTGGTGTCAGAATGGAGTGGGGTAGAATTGCCTACATCATGGAACAACAAGACCATTTCCACAAGCACATACGATTAGTGGGTCTGAAGTTGATCCTAATCTAAGGCCTCTTCAGAAGCAGACACTCCCTCCACAGGATCAGATCCTAACTGGGTTTTATTCTTTTTATGAGATCAATATGGTATCAAGGAGAGCTAAGTCCAACTTAACAGGGAAAAAAATTGGACTCTATTCATTGAGTATAAAGTGCTTCACAGGCAGTGAGACCAGGGACTCCATGGTGAGCCATGAGTAAGCAGAAGGTTCTTCTGGAGATATATTTCTTATATATTACATATCCATTACATATAATTTATGTATCATGTGAAACAAAGGAAAAATCTCCACAATCGAGATAATCTAGAGGAGGTGGATTGAGCTTATTCATATGGAAAGTGAGAAATACTTTCTAAAACAGCCTAATTGCTGTGTGGATTCTGGCTTTCTCCTTGGAAGTTGAGCTTGAGTTTCAAGGTTTCCAGCCACGGATGTCTATACAATTTTTTAGATCATTTCAAAATGAAAATTTGGGAACCTCATTCACAAAGCAGGGGAAAGGTGTCCTTAGGTGATATTTCTAGTGAAACTATTTTTTTAAATGCTATAGCTGTTCATACATATTAGTTTCATGTCTCTCAACTTAATTTTTTAAAGACTTTCTTTTTTCAACCAACCAAGTTCAAAGAAAAATGATACAGATGTACTGATGATGCCAACGCACCTCCTGTCCCCACACAGGTGTAGCCTTCCAATTATTATCTTCCCCATGACACCTTTCACAATGAAGAAGCCTACACTGCCATATCATATCAGCAAACCCCACAATCTAATTAGGGTTCACTCCTGATGTTGCACATTCTATGGGTTTGAACAATTATATGAGGCACGTACATACCATGTATTATAAAGAGTAAAGTCACTACACTAAACATGCTCTGTGCTCTATGCCCTCCTCCTGCTCCCCTCAGCCCTTGGCAACCACAATCTTCTTACTGCATCCATACTTTTGGCTTTTCCGGAATATCATAGGATCATAGCCATACGCTATGTAGCCTTTGCAGATTGCTGTTTTCACTTAGTAAAACGCATGAAAGGTTCCCCTATCTCTTCATGGCTCCATACCTCCTGTCTTTTTAGCACCAAATCGTACTCCATTATTTGGATGTACCACCATTTCCACCCTTATTTATTCATTCACCTGTTGAAGGACATGTTGCATACTTCCACATTTTGGCAAATGTGAATAAAACTGCTATAAACGACTTGTGTACAAGTCTGTGTGTGCATATGAATTTTCAACCTCTTTGGGTAACTACTCAGGAAGGCCACTGCTGAACCATATGTTAAGAGTATGTTTCGCTGTGTAAGAAACTGCCAAATCCCTTTTTGAAATGTCCGTGTATATATTTGCATTTTGTAGTAATTTCCCAACAAAATTCAGTACACCCCTTGATGCACGTCAAAGCCCCAGAGAGTCCAAAGCAGGCATAGGCACAGCAGGTGGTCCTGCCAACAGCTCACTTCACACAGAGCCTCCTGTGACCCAGAACCTGAGCCTGCACGTGTTCCTGCCTGTATCCTGCTGCCCCATGTATAGCTTCTGCTCAGGCACCTATTCCTCTCACTTCTGGGACTCACTCATTAAAGACAAGTACGAAGATAAAATCATTAGGAATTTCAACACATCATTATGATTTCACAGCATTCAACAAAGGGCAAGGGTCCTTGGGAAAATAAGGGGCTATGTAACTGCACAGGTCACATACCCAGAGGTAGAAGCTACCTCTGCTTCCAGGTTCTGTCCATTTAATTCCATCTGACTTTTTAGGATCCTGGTCCTACCTATCAATACCCTTGCACCAACATAAAAGCGAGTGCAGGCTGGAATTCAATTTGTGCTCTTTCAGCTTTGGGTATGGAGTCAAGAGTCCTTGTCTCTGGCCACAACACAGAAGGGAATGTTAGTGGAGTCCTGGAAGCTTTCTGCTCCCTCTCCCAAACCGGGAATAGTTAAAAAATCGTGAGTAATAGATTCATTCAAAATGCAAGGGAGAGCAATGAATTTTCATGGAACAGAATGAAAATTTCCATGAGTTCTTCCCCACAAAGTGCTATTTAGCATTGGCTGAAATGGATACTTTTGTCAGTAATATATGTCAACACAGTGTACAAACTGACCAATAGAAATCATTCACGTTTTGTGATTCTGCATCTTCTGTTATCAGCTACTCAGCGTCTAAGCTCTCGTGCCACTTCAGATTCACTAATTTTAGAATAATATGAGTAAGTATAAATAATTAAGTAACCCAGTCACTTACTCTCAAAAATCCTCCCTTAATTCCTGCATGAAACAAAACTACTATTTCAAGTTTATTATCTTACTGAAATAGAAAATACATGTCATAAGTAGAATATGCGACCCCCAATAAGATTATTCTAAAAAGCTGAACATATATCGAAAGATATTGTACACATACTCTTTCAAAAAAACCCCTACAAATAACTAAAAAATATAGTCACCTCCTTATTTGTTCATGAACAACCATTTTTTCGAGGCTTTCCAGTTGAGTAATTTACATATAATTTATATGCTAGCTTTCAGGAATTTCGTTTTCCCAGAGCATTGGATATGGGCATCTGTATCACTTGCCTGAACGGTTCCAAGGTAGAGTTTTTTTTACCTGCGAAGGGTATTCTGGGGAAAAAAGCCACGAGATTAGGTGAAACGACAACCCTGATGGATCTAATTTTACAATGGAAAAGTGCTGTAAATAAATCTGAAAATCTGAAAACGTGCAGCTCGGTGCAAGCACATGTCCTCCCCAGGGAAGTGCTGGTGCTGCAGGCCCAGAGGCAGTTTGGGGGCAGGCTGCAGATCACCAGGGAGCACTGTGCCTCCGCGGCACACAGGTAGGTGGCTGAGTCTTCCAGCTGAGAGGCCGTGACGTGGAGGGTGCTGGACTGGTCCTTAGTATTCACTGTGCAGTTTAGCCTTCCGCTCTGCTTCATCCCTGAAGCTATGTAAAACAGCCTGGTGAGGCTGCCGCCCCCGGGATTCTGTCGGAACCACTGCACACTGTTCACTACGCTAGAGTAATTGCACTTCAGAGTACAGCTGGCTCCCTCCTGCAGGCTCAGGGCTGAAGGGCTCTGCTCCACCTTCATCCCTGTCACTACTGCTTGAAAGAGAAAAACATACACAAATGATATCACTGGGGAGTTACCGATGCAGATTTTAAACCTGTAAAATATCCCAAGTCACAACCATGATGATGTAGGACCCTCTCAAACCTCAGTGTCAGCTCCACTCCCCACACACTGTGGACTGCAGATCGCTCCCCAACCCTGGTCCCGATGCCCCCACTCACAGCAACCATGCACCCACAGGAGCCCCAGCACAGCTTCCCAGTATCTCCTCATGATTCCTTGTGCAGTTATTGGGGTGCCTTCACCTCTACTGTGCAGAGTGTAGAGTTCCAGAGAAACTGTGTTCTTACAGTCAATCTGTTCCACCACACTCACTGAGCACCAATCACACCTCAGCCCCATCCTTCACTGAACTCGATACTCCACCCACAGTGCCTCAGTGACACCACACAGTGATGTCTTCAAAATTGTGCTTGCCAACGGTGCAGGCAGCTAGGGGTGATATTTCCAATATAGGAGGACAAGAGGTTTTTTTTTTTTTCATAAAACACTTTCTGTAAGAAATTTCGGGGTTAGTGTGTGAGGAAAGGTGAGTGATATTTCTAGAAGAGTCAGTGTCTCAGTGGGGGCTACACAGAACCTTGAAGAATCATAACGAAGAGCGACTCCATTCTCAAAAGTGCAGTTTCACAGACAATGTGAGAAGACAGTTATATAAAAAATAGTGATAGAGGAAAACTATCTGATAGCATGCAGTGTGTACTGCAGAAGTAACTACAATTTCTCAAAATCAGGAGAGTTTTAGAAACCAAGACCAACAGTCACCATCTACACCGAAAATTATTCCAACCAGAATTTGTTTGGCAAATTATAGGATGCCTCCATAATGTTCTGTCTGATTTAGCTTTCATCTTCCACTTCTCCTGTTTAACCGGTGGACACCCTGCTCACCCACACAGCTGAGCCTGGAGAAGTCACATGTTGCTGATCAAAGTCATTATTGTCCTCTCCATTTCCTTCTATTTTTGTTCCTCACTTTTTCCTCTCTTCTTCTTCTCTCTTCATTCCTGTTCCCTCCACTCTCAGCAGAGACGTATGAAAAGGCAGGATATCTGGGGTATTGAAATAGTTTCAAGGCCAATATTTGGGGGATTACTGATAAAACTTGAAAAAGGGTAATTGGATGTTTTGTGTTGAGTTTTCATAGTCACAATGCCCAGAAAAATTCCTATCCTGGCGTCTTTGAAGGATTATCTGCATAGTGGATTTATAGGGTCATGGCCTCTAGATGTCTGAAGTTGAAATGGCAGAACTAAAAACCTGAGATCAACTTTACACAAACCCTTTTCCCCCACGCCCCCACCTTTTCAATCTATAACTGGACTCGCTCAAATGATTTTTGTCTCTCTATAAGAGATTTTTGTCTCTGTTCAATCCTTGCATCATCAGAAAGTCTTTGTATCTTGTAAAGCCTAGAGTGCCCCCTAGAGGACTGAAGTGGTCAGCCAGGAGCACTTCAGACCAAGTAACAGACACAGAGCCCCTGCCCCATTCATTCCAAACTTCCAGAATAAGGAAATGCAGATGGACAGAGGCTAAGATTGAATGAGGATTAAAAGTGAACCAGTGAAATAAGTTGTTCTAACTCTCTGAAGAAAGTCCATGGTATTTTGCTAGGGATTGCATTAAACATGTAAATTGCCCTGGGTAACATTGATATTTTCACAATATTAATTCTGCCAATCCATGAGCGTAGAATATTTTTCCATCTCTTTGTGTCTTCCTCAATTTCTTTCAGAAGTGTTCTATAGTTTTTAGGGTATAGATCCTTTACCTCTTTGGTTAGGTTTATTCCTAGGTATCTTATGCTTTTGGGTGCAATTGTAAATGGGATTGACTCCTTAATTTCTCTTTCTTCAGTCTCATTGTTAGTGTATAGAAATGCCATTGATTTCTGGGCATTGATTTTGTATCCTGCCACGCTACCAAATTGCTGTATGAGCTCTAGCAATCTTGGGGTGGAGGCTTTTGGGTTTTCTATGTAGAGTATCAGGTCATCGGCGAAGAGGGAGAGTTTGACTTCTTCTTTGCCAATTTGAATGCCTTAATGTCTTTTTGTTGTCTGATTGCTGAGGCTAGGACTTCCAATACTATGTTGAATAGCAGTGGTGAGAGTGGACATCCCTGTCTTGTTCCTGATCTTAGGGGAAAGGCTCCCAGTGCTTCCCCATTGAGAATGATATTTGCTGTGGGCTTTTCGTAGATGGCTTTTAAGATGTCGAGGAAAGTTCCCTCTATTCCTACACTCTGAAGAGTTTTGATCAGGAATGGATGCTGTATTTTGTCAAATGCTTTCTCTGCATCTAATGAGAGGATCATATGGTTCTTGGTTTTTCTCTTGCTGATATGATGAATCACATTGATTGTTTTACGAGTGTTGAACCAGCCTTGTGTCCCAGGGATATATCCTACTTGGTCATGGTGAATAATTTTATTAATGTGCTCTTGGATCCTATTGGCTAGTATCTTATTGAGAATTTTTGCATCTGTGTTCATCAGGGATATTGGTCTGTAATTCTCCTTTTTGGTGGGGTCTTTGTCTGGTTTTGGAATTAAGGTGATCCTGGCCTCATAGAATGAATTTGGAAGTACTCCATCTCTTTCTATCTTTCCAAACAGCTTTAGTAGAATAGGTATGATTTCTTCTTTAAAAGTTTGATAGAATTCCCCTGGGAAGCCATCTGGCCCTGGACTCTTGTGTCTTGGGAGGTTTTTGATGACTGCTTCAATTTCCTCCCTGGTTATTGGCCTGTTAAGATTTGTGTGGAATCAGAAAAGACCCCGAATAGCCAGGGGAATTTTAAAAAAGAAAACCATATCTGGGGGCATCACAATGCCAGATTTCGGTTTGTACTACAGAGCTGTGGTCATCAAGACAGTGTGGTACTGGCACAAAAACAGACACATAGATCATTGGAACAGAATAGAGAACCCAGAAGTGGACCCTGAACTTTAGGGTCAACTAATATTCGATAAAGGAGGAAAGACCATCCACTGGAAGGAAGACAGTCTCTTCAATAAATGGTGCTGGGAAAATTGGACATCCACATGCAGAAGAATGAAACTAGACCACTCTCTTGCACCATACACAAAGATAAACTCAAAATGGATGAAAGATCTAAATGTGAGACAAGATTCCATCAAAATCCTAGAGGAGAACACAGGCAACACCCTTTTTGAACTCAGCCACAGTAACTTCTTGCAAGATACATCCACGAAGGCAAATGAAACAAAAGCAAAAATGGACTATTGGGACTTCATCAAGATAAGAAGCTTTTGCACAGCAAAGGATATAGTCAACAAAACTCAAAGACAACCTACAGAATGGGAGAGGATATTTGCAGATTACATATCAGATAAAGGGCTAGTTTCCAAAATCTATAAAGAACTTCTTAAACTCAACACCAAAGAAACAAACAATTCAATCATGAAATGGGCAAAAGACATGAAGAGAAATCTCACAGAGGAAGACATAGACATGGCCAACATGCACATGAGAAAATGCTCTGCATCACTTGCCATCAGGGAAATACAAATCAAAACCACAATGAGATACCACCTCACACCAGTGAGAATGGGGAAAATTAACAAGGCAGGAAACCACAAATGTTGGAGAGGATGCGGAGAAAAGGGAACCCTCTTACACTGTTGGTGGGAATGTGAACTGGTGCAGCCACTCTGGAAAACTGGAGGTTCCTCAAAGAGTTAAAAATAGACCTGCCCTACGACCCAGCAATTGCACTGCTGGGGATTTACCCCAAAGATTCAGATGTGATGAAACGCCGGGACACCTGCACCCCGATGTTTCCAGCAGCCATGTCCATAGTAGCCAAACTGTGGAAGGAGCCTCGGTGTCCATCGAAAGATGACTGGATAAAGAAGATGTGGTTTATATATACAATGGAATATTCCTCAGCCATTAGAGACGACAAATACCCACCATTTGCTTCAACGTGGATGGAACTGGAGGGTATTATGCTGAGTGAAGTAAGTCAATCGGAGAAGGACAAACAGTGTATGTTCTCATTCATTTGGGGAATATGAATAATAGTGAAAGGGAATATAAGGGAAGGGAGAAGAAATGTGTGGAAATATCAGAAAGGGAGACAGAACATAAAGGCTCCTAACTTGGGAAACGAACTAGGGGTGGTGGAAGGGGAGGAGGGCGGGGGGTGGGGGTGAGTGGGTGACGGGCACTGAGGGGACACTTGACGGGATGAGCACTGGGTGTTATTCTGTATGTTGGTAAATTGAACACCAATAAAAATTAATTTATAAATTAAAAAAAAAGTGAACCAGTGAGAAAGGGGGAAATTAACAAGGCAGGAAACCACAAATGTTGGAGAGGATGCGGAGAAAGGGGAACCCTCATGCACTGTTGGTGGGAATGTGAACTGGTGCAGCCACTCTGGAAAACTGTGTGGAGGTTCCTCAAAGAGTTAAAAATTGACCTGCCCTAAGACCCAGCAATTGCACTGTTAGGGATTTACCCGAAAGATTCAGATGCAATGAAACGCCGGGACACCTGCACCCCGATGTTTCTAGCAGCAATGTCCACAATAGCCAAACTGTGGAAGGAACTTCGGTGTCCTCGATCGAAACATGAATGGATAAAGAAGATGTGGTTTATGTATACAATGGAATATTCCTCAGCCATTAGAAACGACAAATACCCACCATTTGCTTTGACATGGATGGAACTGGAGGGTATTATGCTGAGTGAAATAAGTCAATTGGAGAAGGACAAACATTATATTGTCTCATTCATTTGGGGAATATAAAAAATAGTGAAAGGAATAAAGGGGAAGGAGAGAAATTGAGTGGGAAATATCAGAGAGGGAGACAGAACATGAGAGATTCTTAACTCTGGGAAACAAACAAGGGGTGGTGGAAAGGGAGGTGGGCGGATGGTAGGGGTGACTGGGTGACGGGCACTGAGGGGGGCACTTGGCAAGATGAGCACTAGGTGTTATGCTATATGTTGGCAAATTGAACTCCAATAAAAAAATAAAAAATAAAATAAAAGTGAAACAAATCCTACTTTTAAAATAGAATTGCATGGAAATTGATATCAGAAAATAATTCGGTAATCTCGTCTTGTGCTATCTTTTAAATTTCTTGACCTGATTTCAGAAGAAATCGTAAATATTTATTGAGCTTTTAGTTTCAATGCAGTAATTTACTATAGGTTCAGAACATATAAAAGTGCAATG